AGCAGCTTCTCCAGAAAATGGGCATGAGTTATTACTTGACGAGAAGTTTTTTAGAGACTGTGTAGAGTTATATTCTGCTCCAACTAAAGCTCTTGAAGCAAATGGTCTTGATTTTCCTATCAAACATATCAACATAGTTGATCCTCTAAAACACAGCAACAACCTCGGAAAAAGTATTACACAAGGTACTTAACTGATAAAGTTCTATAACCAATGTACCACTTATCATAAACATATTCATTGTTTTGTTTTCTTACATTATGTTAGGAAATGTCCAACGACTAAGACATGCTTTTACACTGGGAGCTCGAAAGCTCAGAGATGTTCTTTCACTTCCTGGTGAAACCATGGGATGGAGACTTGAGAAATTCTTTGGTAATACTTTGGAGAGGAATGGTAAAGGACAAAGGCAAGATGTGAATGATCCCGTTACTGCGTTTGGTACTGGAAAATCAGAATTATCTGAACTCAGTGGAGATTTTGAAGGTTATTTTGGAAGCCTTGCGTATGGACAAATGTATCATGGTTATAGCTTACCTGGAACATTTCAACATAGCTATATCCCGGTTGCTTCTCAAGTTAAGGACCAAAGTGCTTGGGATATTGGCCGTGACCTTGTGAATTACCGAAAGAACGAGTTTTATCTTAGAAGTCTTAATGTATCAACCCCAGTGCATCCTTTTCCTCTCCACCCTCTAACGAACGGCTGTCAAAACATGGGAAAGACGAGAGGAACCGGCACTTACATTCCTGACATGGTATGCGATTTCCCGCTCCTGACTCATTGTCTTAAAACTTAAATCGTTGCTGCAAGCTTCTAAATTGCTTGCTCACTGGTTATTGCAGAGTCAACAGTCATACTCTGACAGATTCAGAAACTCATCGACTCATCATTTAGAAGCTTCTGTTGAGGCGATAGATGATGATGGAGCCAGTTGTTGCTGCAATATTTATGGTGAAATGTCTACTTCTTGTGCCGGTATCAACGGAGAAGAATGTTTGAAAGCGGAGACTTGTAGTGTGTTAAAATCTCCAAGATCAGGGAATTTGGAGATTGCTGACAATTGCCAATCTTCACCACCAGAAAACCTAGTAGATTCTATATCTTTAAGCATTTTGGGAATGGAAAATGGCAAAGAAGAGGAGATCAAATCCTCCCAAACGTTGAACGGTTCTTGACTTTAGTGAGTGTGACATAATCTTTGGTTGGTCTCTTGGTTTACCTTCAGGATAATTAGGTTGTCTCTTAAAACTACATGGACAAACTCTATTTAGGATTCAAAAGATTCATCAGGGACTTGATTACTTTTTGTTGACCAATGTTTCATGAGAGATCTCTTCTTCACTGTTAGGACACAAAATACATTAGTGGTACAGATTGGCAGTTGATTTGCCATTGAATCAACTTCCTTGAGATTCTTGATCAATTTACTCATGCGATTTTCTGTTACTTGTGGTGCAGAGAGTAACAAATGACTTCAAAAAAACCTTTATTTATTATTCCGTACTCCAAACATAAACACATGTTCTAGGTTTTGTATAACTAGACGCTATGATTGTTTTCATGTGTAAGATACACAAGAAGTAATACAGAGACACAGGGCAAGCTTTGGGTTTGAATGCCTCACAACAAGGAACTATACATCCGCGTGTGAAACTGACTGGGGAGTGAGAATGTACATATGACAGTCGTGTGCGTCTACTTGAGCTTCAAACGAAACAGAAGCGTTCTCAGTTACATCTTTGTGCTGCCACAAATCTCTCACTGAGACGCTAATGGTAGACTCAAGACCTATCATTTCCCATGATGCTGTAATGGTTGCAGGCTCTGAGCAACGGTTCCAGAGAGCAACTACCATACGGTCACCAGTTAAAGGCCCTGACCACACCTGAAATGAAACAGTCATCACAAATTTGAGTCCTCAAGTTTGTGTTTTTTTTTTCTTCTATGAGTCTAATAGATATGTGCCTCCCAATTCATACCTGCTGACAATCATTCTCTCCATTGGCTTGAATTTTCCTTCCTTGAACACCAAGTGGGTCTGCAACCAGAAGTGTTCTCAGTTCTTTCGGTCTTTAACCATGGATATGCGGAAAATCATGAATGCAGCAAAGTTAACGAGTCTTATAAGATAGGATATTCACCTTGGTTTACAGCGATAACCTCCTTATTGCTCAAAATCTCAAAAGTTTCAGCTGTCATGTTTCTTACATCACAACCAATCAAAAGTGGTGCCTGCAGGAGAACCACGAGGTCAAGATCAAATCAAGGATATAAACGAAATCAAGAAACCATGGAGTTAGTTACATACCTTCATCAAAGCCCAAATGCTAAAATGACCTTTATACTCCTCGTAAGTCATCCCTCCATTCCCAACTTCCAACATATCCGGATCTAATGCAATGGAAACAATTGTGATCAGTACTTCAAGCGTACTATTTCAAATTCCATAGGAGAACATTTTTTGAGATCTTAAATGATTTTTTTACCGTTCCAACCACCAGGTCCAGCATATGCAGCCCACTTGTTATTCAAATCAGCAATCGTAGTCATACTTTATAAACGAAAAAAAGAGAGAGATGTAAAACAATCAGATCTTGATTTAACCAAACCAATTCCTCTCCTAGCAACTTAATGTCCATCTACTCAAATCACAAGATCTTCGTTAAAAACAAATGAACCACGAGATTTATCTAAAGCCAAGAGATTTACACCTTGCCCATGTATCATTGATGTCATCGGTTGTGCGCCAACTGTTTCCAACTTCTTTTGCCCACAAGGCAGGATCATCAACGCCCCTGCAAACATGAAAAAACCGGTAAATAACTTAACTGAATGCTGCCGGCATTCAATTTACTCGCCCTGTGTGAGAAATTTTGAACATGTACCATTCACAGAGGGAATAGAAGATTGAGCGTCCAGTTGCATTTAGAGCATCACGCATTGGAGGATATCTAGAAACCACGAAACAATATCAAATCATTTGAAATTTTTACCAAAAGGAGATCATGAATAAATGGTACCATATCAAATCATAAAGATCAAACCTTTTGATTGGTTTTATTCCCAGGTTATAACAGTTGTCATATTTCAGATAATCCACACCCTGGAAATCAAGTTTACCGATGAGAAACCAAATACAACCAAGTACCAAAAATCATTGTGATAATTTTTTTTGTAATTTACAGACACAAGATAATCCTCAATAGGAATCACTTTAAAAGCTCATTGAATACCCAACAGTTTGAACGACAATGGATGAAAACTAACCCAAGAAGCAAAAATGTCTGCATCATCCACTTCATGGAAAAGGGATCCTGGACGAACTTCACACGTGAAAATGCTGTAACAAGAAATTGAACAATATTCAAAATATAGTCAGGAGACTATATCCTATCATTTCTTCGGAGCTTGTGAAAACACCAAAAGAGGTACATGAATCTTGGCTTACCCAGCATCAGAATATATACCAAGTTTGAGACCCTTTGAATGAACATAATCAGCAAGAACCTTTATTCCTGATGGGAAGGTTTCAGGATGAGGAACCAATTGACCCTGCATTTCAAGATTTTACAAAAGAAAAGTAAGCATACCCGCGCCTAGTTAGTGTGGTCTACGAACCAGCATAAAAATACGAAATTCTCTATCAAAATCTCAGGACATTAGCTCACTACAAAATACTAGTATTTTCGATCTTAAACACAAATTAACCAAAAATTAGTTAGACTAATACAGTAATACTTATACGAGCGATCTTACCTTTGAATCGCGTAACAAATTGGACCAACAATCATCTGCAACAAACATAAACTTGTGAAACCTGAAGCAGGAAGGATTCAAGGCAAAGAAAGTTTGATGAGGCAGGTTCAAGGGACAATACCTATATTGATATGTATATATCCTAAATCAGCCAAGCCAGATGAGACCAAAGCATCAGCTGTTCATCAAAGTAAATAAAAATATCAGCAACTCCAATGAACATAGAATATAAAGAAAAGATGAAACATGTGGATAGCCTTTTTTATAGCTTTACCAGTTTCCTTAATGACTGTTTCATTGATATTGCAAGCAAAGAAATTCCAGCTATTCCATCTGTGGAAATAAACAAAGCACAACAAGTCCAATAAGAGACATCATTCCAAATTTACAAACTTTACACCACAACAGAGACAAAAACCAATCAAAATTGTTCCTTTTACTAATCAGAAACAACCCACGAAAACTCAAAATCCAAAAGACAATTCCTTGAACTTACCCCATTTGTGGAGTTCGAGCGAGACCATTGTTGAGCTGCAATCGACCGTACATAGAAGTATCATAGATCGAATTGAAGGATTTGCTGAAAACTAATCCATCGGAACGGCTCTGCAACAATGGAGCTTTGACTCTTCCTGCGATCGACTGAGAGACCAAAACAGTTAAAGAGAAGAGCCCAAAGAGGAACAAACTCGAATCTTTCATCTTCCTAATAATCGCCATTAACAGTCCTCCGGAGATTTCTTTAATCTTGAAAAATGGGTTTATTTTATTAGATAATGGAGTCGTATCGATATCTCCAAGTCCAAAGAGTTCCAGAATATATGCTTACGATTACGCATCATCGTCATATACATCGTTGTCATTAATTTCAATTTTAATCCAAAGTAATTAGATTTAGTGCATTTGGATTAGACATGTGTAATAACGATTAATATTTTAGTGAGATGTTGTAAAAAGGAAACAAGCAATGCAGTGAGAGAAGCCATTGAGAAGGACAGAAGGTTAAAGGCGGTTCAAGACTGGTAATGGGTAAACTCCAAGCACCCGCAGAGGCTACATACAACTTGACTTGCTTCTGCCTGTGCGACTCATGGATCGGGTGTGACACAAAGACATCACTGAAAGTCAAAGTCCTGAAAAAAACCAGGGCTGGGACTAAAGTTTCTGAAGCTTTGATTAAAGAATCACTCTCTTTATTAAGTTTAGAAATATATACTTTGATCACATCTCGACCAAAGTATATATAGCACAACATTGCTATTTCAATTACTATTAAAAGTAGAAAACTACTATTTCCTATTCCTAATGAACAATAGTAAATTTTCTTTTAGCCTATTTTATCCATAACCAACTTGTTATAGATATTTTGGGCTCCAAGCTAATGTTGAAGCTTATCCG